CTTTTCTGGTAAGAGCCTCAATTTTATCTATAAAATGAAGCCAAAATACTTAAATTAATTAGGCAGTATCACTTGATGGGGTTGTTCCCAGCCTGTCTATTGTAATAGGTCTCTAGAAGTGGCTAGGTCAGGAGTATTCCATAGAAGTTTCTGGTGGCCAAGGCATTATTTCTGACATTGTGTAAAATTAAAACAACTAGAATACCAGAATGGGGAGGGAAAAAAATAGAAAAATGATAAACTTTGTTATTGGAGAAGTCTGCAAAGTACTTTCTAATATTTTGTATAGTTTTACAACAAAGTTTTTCACATAATTCTTTAAAATTTCATCTCCATAGTATGTGGAGTTAAAAAAGAGTGAAAGGAAATTCAAGGTTGACCAACATTTTTCGGTTGCCTAGCTAACCAATAGTGAGAACGGAAATTCATATTATGTTTTCAACTTTAAGTCTTATGCTCTTTCTACTTCAGTATGCTGTTTCCTTGATAGTAGTTGTGATTTCAGGTAGGTGTATATTTCAGAATCTCTGGGGATGGGTCCAGGTATATGTAATTTTTTTTCTTACGTTGAGACAGAATGCATACCCAAGTGATTCTGGTGCCCACCTCTGGCTAAAAATCATTGCTCTCTTCCAGGTTTAATTTTTCTTCTCCTATTTCAGTACATCTAAATTAGTGCTTAGACCACACAAATAAGACAAAGAATGAAACTGATATTTAGGTAGATAAGCAACAACACTTGAAAAAGCAATTCAGTTTAGTTTCCTATTCACAATCTTGATGGTCTGTCTCTCCATTTGATCAGTGCTGGTGGCGAGGAAGGTTCCAGAGTAGCCATCTCTGGAAGTTAAGTCCATTAGTGCTTCCCCTTCCGCTTCCCCGAGATCAGTTTTGGCTCCTTAATACTAGTAGTCTGCTCTCATTGTGTCCAGGTCCTTGGGCATCGCCTCCTTATCACCGTGGGTAATAAGTAGCCTCATGAGTGTTTTCAGTTGCTTGACTGAAGTTTTTTGTTTGTTTTTTTAATCTTCATCCGAGGATATTTTTCCATTGATTTTTAGGGAAAGTGGAAGAGAGAGAGAAAGACAGAGAGAAACATCGATGTGAGAGAAACACATCGATTGGTTGCTTCCTGCACAAGCCCTGACCAGGGCCCTGGCCCAAGGATCCTGCAACCAAGGTACGTGCCCTTGACCAGAATCAAACCCAGGACCCTTTGGTCCGCAGGCCAATACTCTGTCCACTGAGCCAAACCGGCTAGGGCTTGGCTGAAGATTCTTAATAAACTTTCCTCAGCTGTCTTAAAGATGCTTCAGTGTCCTGGATTTAGTGGTATTTGCAGGCCGTTTTTAACGCTGAATGCATCACATTACTAATAAGCTCAAAATTGAATGAAAAGACCATGTCATGATGGGGTGGGATAGGTGCATACTCTAGCAAACCCTCAGGTAGGCAACAGTTAATCACATTGTGTAGTGGATTTTCAAAAATAAAACATATTTTCAAAAATACAAAGACAGATTCTATTGGAAATTACTTTCAAATTTGAAAATTAAGCATTTGCTATTTGAGGCAGTAACTGAGGTTTTGCAGTGAGTAAACTGTCTTAACTCAGAAATGCTTATCAAAACGCAGTTGAGCAGGAGCAATAATATGCTAATATTGGCTTTTAATTTTCTGAGCAGAGATCGTGCCACTAGAAACTATTTCCAGTGAATACACAGAGGGCTACTCCTGTGTTGAAATGAATGTGCTTGGAATGTTCTTCTATATAGGTGTACCTTTCTTAACATAAAAAATACAGTTCTGATAATTTTTCATTACTAAGCTTTAGGGAGCCTATGATTAACATGACTGATTTTAATAATGGCATCCTAGATTAAACAAAAAGTTTTTAAACTTAATACCTACAACGTATAACATAACATTCTTATTTTTCAAAATATATTGTTACGATAGATATCACATGCAGATTAGATTTATCTTTGTTGCACTGTAAATAAATGTTCTTATAAACAAGATAAAACCAAGGCCTTTTAAAATATTAAAGTTATCCCAAATCAAAGATTAATAAAAAAAACTATAGCAATAAACAAATGAGACTTGACAATCATAGATCAACTTAAATGTATTGTAAAACAGTTATTTTTCTGTGAACAATGTATTCAGAAGCCTGTACTTAGTGGATTTCTACTTACTTTTATTTGGTGTTGAGAATCTGTTACATAGACTTCTATGGCAAAAATATGTTAATACTTTTTCTCTTTTTTTCTTATAAATATATACTTTTTTATTATTTAAGATATTACATATGTGTCCTTATCCCCACGTTACCCCCTATCCCCCCGCTCATGCCCCCACCCCCCTGTTGTCCATGTCCATTGGTTAGGCCTATATGCTTGCATATAAGTCCTTTGGTTGATCTCTCCCCCTTACCCCCACCCTACTCTAAGGCCCGACAGTCCAATCAATGCCTCTCTGTCTCTGGATCTGTCCTTGTTCATCAGTTTATGTTGTTCATTATATTCCACAAATGAGTGAGATCATGTGGTATTTATGCTTCTCTGACTGGCTTATTTCACTTAGCATAATGCTCTCCAGTTCCATCCATGCTGTGGCAAATGGTAAGAATTCCTTCTTTTTTTACAGCAGCATAGTATTCCATTGTGTAGATGAACCACAGTTTTTTAATCCATTCATCTGTTGATGGGCACTTAGGCTGTTTCCAAATCTTAGCTATGGTGAATTGTGCTGCTATGAACATAGGGATGCATATATCCTTTCTGATTGGTGTTTCTGGTTTCTTGGGATATATTCCTAGAAATGGGATCACTGGGTCAAATGGGAGTTCCATTTTTAACTTTTTGAGGAAACTCCATACTGTCTTCCATAGTGGCTGCACCAGTCTGCATTCCCACCAGCAGTGCACAAGTGTTCCTTTTTCTCCACATCCTCTCCAGCACTTGTCGTTTGTTGATTTGTTGATGATAGCCATTCAGACAGGTGTGAGATGGTACCTCATTGTTGTTTTGATTTGCATCTCTCGGATGATTAGTGACTTTGAGCATGTTTTCATATGTCTCTTGGCTTTCTGAATGTCCTCTTTTGAAAAGTGTCTATTTAGGTCCTTTGCCCATTTTTTGATTGGATTGTTTATCTTCCTTTGTTAAGTTGTAAGAGTTCCCTATAAATGTTGGAGATTAAACCCTTATCGGTGATAACATTGGCAATACTTTTTCTCTTTTAAAATCTGGTCCATCTCATTTTCTTAATTTATGACATTTTAGATTCTGTGGCTCTTTTAGACTTAAATCTAGATGCATTGTTAATGTATTCCAAATATAGAAAGTATGATACCCTATTTCATCGATTTTAAGACATGCTTCTTCTTCATACTTTGAAAAATGAGATGCATCTTAAAATTGATTTGTATCATAGTTTAATGGAGGCTTTTTTCCCCTTGGTGGTATGTAAAACTAGTAGGTAATCATTGATGTTTTATGCTTGATAAAAAGTGATGGTTCTTTTTTAAAAAATACATGATGTGTGGTATATCTTTGTGGTAAAAATCTAAGTGGTGAGAATATACTAGTATTATACTAGAGGCCCAATGCACGAAATTTGTGCAAGAGTGGGCCTTCCTTCCCCCAGCTGCTGGCACCAACTTCCCTCTGGCACCCAGCACCTAGCACCCAGGACCCGGGCTTCCCTCGCAGCCCTGGCTTCATCCAGAAGGTTGTCCGGTCTAATTAGCATATTACGCTTTTATTATTATAGATTATTTGGAATTATAGACTTTTAGTGTTTTCTTCAGATTTCTTTCTTTTTGTTCTCACTATCATATTCCTAGTGTCAAATCTAAAACAATTTAGTAATAAGTTTGATGTTCTTTATTCAGTGGAAAACAGTCCGGGGGTTGGGGGTGTACATTGCCTACTAGCACTTTCTGAGGGATTTTGGGCAGGAGCAAGTTTTATAGAGTGTTCAAAGAGACCACAAGAAAGGGCATGTTTGGCGGGGAGCTCCGTTAGCAGGTCCTACTTTCTAGGGTAGGGTAAGCTGGCTGAAACTGAGTTGGAGGACTGATTGGTGTTAGGTTCCTTTGACAGTGAGGTGTTCCCCTTAGTGCATGCTGATTTTGGGTTAGGTTTGTGACATGGATGGGGCCACTAGGGTGGCCTTCATTTTGTGGGTCTCCATATACCAATTAACTTTATCACTAATTAGGTAGGTGTTTTACATTAAACTGGTTCCCTATCTGTGGAAAGCTGTCCAGAATTTAAAAAAAGAAAAATGGAGATCAAGAGAAGGAGGCAAGACTTGGGGTTGGGGATGGGGTGGAGTTAAGGTAGTGGGTGGGACCTCCAGGGTTAAGAAAAGAAAAATGGGGCAAGGACACTTTAGGGGGCCATTACTAAGCATTTTTCACTTACCCAGCTTTACTTGGCTGGAAATGCTTTTCAGGTTAAGTCTCTGGTTGTGACATACTAGCTTGTGCGCTACTCAGTAGTTATCTAGGGAATACTCACCTCAGCCTATTCCCTAGATTCCAAAAGCATAAATGCTCTGCCAAAGCCTTTTTTCTGCAGAAGTTGCCCCGGTACCCCCTCCAGCCTTTCGGGTAAATCATCTGCTGCTACCTTCTCTTTTATAGGCCACATGGAGTTTGTGTTTCCTCATAATCTGCGGTCTCAAAATTAAAAACTAAAAGGGGAATGCTTAGAAAATGTACTTTTCTACAAGGAACTATTACATTTATGGGAACAATTAAATTTGTTGGTTTTTATAGTACAAATACTTAATTTTTGGAAACTTCCTTACCTTACTCTGTCTTTCAGCGTTTAGGTAGAGATTGGTGCAGTCTTTCCGCTTTACTTCAAATATGGGTGCTGAGTTTTATATATTCCTGACAAAATATGCCAGTCATCACTCTTTATCAATTAGCATTCACGTGGTTCTTTTTCTGCTTATTGTCCTGCCTTTGTTTCCTTTTTCCTCAGAGGATGTCCTGAGTAAAGATACTGGGGAATGTGCGATATGTCTGGAAGACTTGCAGCAGGGGGACACGATAGCACGGCTGCCTTGTTTGTGCATCTACCATAAAGGGTGAGTTTATCTCTATGCTCACACACTGATTTTAGCAAAGATCTCCCTCAGAGTTTCAGACATTGTAGTGAGGGCGGAAAAGGTTTCTTCTTCACTGAAACTCCCTCCCCTCGTTTCTTAACAAATGATGCCCCCTTTTTTACTGCTAGAATTAAGATTTAAGCCCCTATCTGTTTGTACCCAAAAATCTATCATTTGTCCAGCATTTACTGTGACCCAGGTATTGTTGATAGCTTCTAAAATAGGTCTCTCATGTAAGCCTTGTATCAGTCTCATTTCACAATAGAAAATAAGCTGAGGGACAATAGTAAAAAAATCTCCCCAAGGTCACCTGGCTAGTAAATGGAAGAGCCGAGGTTCTACCCATATCTGTTTGACTCCAAATTCTACCTGGTTTCTTCTAAAGTATTTGTGGTTTCAGAGCAACACAGGAAATATTTTAAACTAACTGCAAGAAGAATATTAGCCAAGCTGTCGTGTGTGTGTGTGTGTGTGTGTGTGTGTGTGTGTGTGTGGTCTGTGTTAATCCTCACAGAGGATATTTTCCCATTTTTTTAAAGAGAGTGGGAGATGGGGAGAGACAGAGAGAAATACTGATTGGTTGCCTCCTGCATGCGTCTCAACCAGGGCTGGGGGTCATGCCTGCAACCAAGGTACATGCCCTTAACCAGAATTGAACCTGGGACCCCAGGCCAACCCTCTGTCCACTGAGCCAAACCAGCAAGGGCAAAACCATCTTGGTTTATGGCATGTGCAGACTTGAAATGTGTCAACGGAGAGAATGTTAAATAGTTTGAATCCTGCTGGGGAAAATTCCTGGCTGTTGGGCAAGTTACTTAAGTTTATCATTTGCCACAGGGAGCTTTCTGTGGTGATAGAAGTGTTCTGTATTCGTACTGTTAGTAGAGGAGCCACCAGCCATGTGGCTGTTGAGCACTTAAAGTGTGGCTAGTGTGACTAAGGAACTGCATTTTCCTTTCATTTCACCTTAATGAATTTAAGTTTAAACAGCCACATGTGGTACGTGGCTACTGCATTGAACAGTGCAGATCGACAGGATAATGGTGTGCACTCTAATATTTAACTTCCCAACAAAATCATCAAATACTTCATAAATGTGAGTGGATGATGATATACTTATTTGTGTATGTATATGTACTACAGGATGGAACAGAGTTAAAATAAGTATTTAATATTCACATATAAATATGGTCTTTTTAAATGTGATGCAGTATTGTCAAGAATTAAAATTTAAAAGCAGTTTTTGATTACATTGATAGGTGATATGAACAGGTTGATATTTATATAAATGAATATTTTGAAGAGAAACACAGCTTTTCAGATTTGTCATTTGATTTTGAATATTGGTAAAGTGGTAGTTCTTTTGATTCTTTTTATAATGATTGTTGCTTAAACTTCAAAGTATTTTATAGCATAATTTTACAAAGATTATTTCCTTAACTGCTTAGAATAAGCAAAATGTAATAAGCACATTTTTATCTTTTACTTATATGTATATGCCAAATATGATCACTTAAAAGTATTTCATTTTTCTTTTGCAAAGAGGTAAGCATTTTTTATTATGGCTGTCATGACATTAATAATTAAGCGTAAATGTTTCACTTTTTCTGGTTTTATTATTTTCTAGCTGCATAGATGAATGGTTTGAAGTAAATAGATCTTGCCCTGAGCACCCTTCAGATTAAGCATCAGCTTCCTGTTTTATAGGTAATTCTCCCTTTTTCCTTTTAATTGCCTTTTGAAGTGTTATTTGGATTATACATTCTTAACCATTTTCTTTGCTTATCCAAACTACTCCTCATCTGTTCAGGTATTTCATGAAATTGCCACAAGTCAGTCCCACTTCGGGCTCCACTTCTAATCCTGGTTCTCTTGCTGTTTCCACCGCATCTGCAGTTACTTCCTCCACTGAAGTCTAGACCCCTCAAAGTCATCTATGAGGGTTGGAATCAACTTCCTAACCCCTGTAGTGTTGATGTTTTGCCTTCTTCCCACAAAGCACTAATTTTTTTAATGGCGTCTATAATACTAAATCCTTCCAGGGGGTTTTCAGAGGAATGACTGTCTGGCAAATACAGCTTTGCAAAATGTATTTCTTGCATAAGACTTGAAAATCAAAATTAGTCCTTGATTTCCTGGGCTCCAGAATGGATGTTCTGTTAGGCATGAAAACAGCAGTCATCTCATTGTACATCTCCATCAGAGCTCTTGGGTGACCAGGTACATTGTCAATGAGCAGCACTATTTTGAAAGGAATTTTTTTTCTGAGCAGTACGTGTCAGCAGTGGCTTAAAATATTCAGTAACCATGTTGTAAACCATGGTTTACATGCTGTTCTCCAGGTTTTGTTTTTCTGTTTATGTAGCAGAGTAGATTGAGCATATTCTTAAGGGCCCTGGGACTTTCAAGTTGGTAAGGAGCATTGGCTTCAAGTTAATTGCATTAGCCCCTGGCAAGAGTTAGCCCATCATTTGAAGCTTCAAAGCCAGGCATTGGCTGCTCCTCCCTGGCTATGAAAGTCCTAGATGACATCTAAGGCTGTTTTGTCTACATGCAAGTGTGTTGTGGAATGTAGCCACCTTCATTACCTTGGCTAGACTTTCTGAATAACTTGCTGCAGCTTCTACATTAGTACTTGCTGCTTCACCTTGCACTTTTATGTTATGGAGACGGCTTCTTTCCTTAAACTTCATGAACCAACTTCTGCCAGCTTCACACTTTTTCTTCTGCCTCCTAACCTCTCAGCCACCATAGAATTGAAGAGAGTTGGGGCTTTGCTTTGGATTAGGCTTAGGCATAGAGGGATGTGGCTGGTTTGATCTTCTCTAGACCAGTAGAACTTTGCCCATATCAGCAATAAGGCTGTTTAGCTTTCTTATTCGTGCGTTCAGTGGAGTAGCACTTTTAACTTCGTAAAAGAACTTGTCCTTTGGCCCGGCCAGCATGGCTAAGTGGTTGAGCATCAACCTATGAACCAGGAGGTCATGGCTTGATCCCCAGTGCAGGGCGTGCAGGAGAAAGCTGATCAATGATCCTCTCATCATTGATGTTTCTATCTCTCTCTCCCTCTTCCTTCCTCTCTGAAATCAGTAATTAAAAAGAAGAAGAAAAGCTTATCCTTTATATTCACTATTTGGCTAACTGGTACAAGAGCCTAGCTTTTAGCCTATCATCTTTAAACATGCCTTTCTCACTAAGCTTACTCCTTTCTAGCTTCTTACTTAAAGTGAGAGATGTGTGACTCTTCCTTCCACATGAACCCTTAGAGGTCATTGTAGGGTTATTAATTGGCCATTGTTCAATATTGTTGTGTCTTGGGGAATAGGGAGGCCCAAGGAGAAGGATAGAAGACTGGGGAACGGGCAGTTGCTGGAGCAGTCAGAACACATTCAACATTTATTAAGTTTGTCTTATGTGGGCATGGTGTGTGGTGCTCCAAAACATTTACGATAGTAACGTCAAAGATCACTGATCACTGATCACAGATCACCATAACAAGTAGAATAATGACAAAGTTGAAATGTTGACATAGTCTTTATTGTAGAGGAGAGATAACTATGTGGTGGTGATTTTTTGTGATATTTTAAGCTTTAATTGGTCCTTCTGTGTGTCCTTGATCTGTTCTTTTGAAGAACACTACTTTTATGAGTTTTTAGAATAGTAAGTGTGAAAATTTATGGTAACTAAAGCAATGTTCATGGGGAAATGAATGTTTGTTTTGATTTGTATTACTAGTGTGGACCTTTGCTTAAATCAAAATGTGTCTACTTTTACACAGGTTTTCTTCTCTTCTCAAGATGCTTAAAAAAACAAGAGGAAATGGGGATCTGTCTCTGGAAAAACAAAAACAAAAAATGCAGGCATACTCAGCCAAAAATCTGAGTTCTGTGCGACTCAGTTGATGCAGAGGTGGACAATCATATAGGGGAAAAACCCTGCTGGAGGGAGGACATTTGCCACAGAACTCAGTGCACCAAACATGACATAAGGACTCACAGGGATTTTGAAAATGCTGCACATCCCTTAATAGTCATCTACATAGGTAATGCTGATAAACATTTTGTATGCAGACGCCAAAGTTAACTGATTTAAAAGTTGATTTACTTTTTATTAAGTTCTCTAGAGCTACGCAACTAGTGTTTTGATTTGTTGTGTTTTTTAGTTTGGGGGTCTCTTTGTTTTCCCCAACATGATTCTGCATTCATCTATTTTAAAATTGAAGACCACATACTCTTCTTCCTATAAATTAAAGTCTTAAATGTGAAACCAAGAAATGTAATCAAGCAGTGAAACATTCTCTGAATGTAGACCATGATCTCAAGTTCTAATATTTTCCCCCCAAGAGTGGAAAATAGACTTCTACATAGGAAAGCTAAAATACTTTAACATTTTAAGTTAAAAGTTTAATGTTATCAGAATGCAGTCCAAAGAGTAAATCAGGTTACATAATTACATTTTAATGAATTAAATATTGGATTGTTTACTGAATTGTAATTTCTTAAGTATATTCTTTCCTCTTAAATAAAACTGCTCAACAGCTAATCAGCATTGAATCATCTTGCAGCTATGCAACTTTAAAAAAAATACAAATTACCAGTTTTAAGTGCTGCCAGGTACAGTAATGTTGTTTTAACGGGTATTTTCATTTGTTCTTTTCATGTAATTATTTAATTGTGCTTTGCATCTCCAGGCAGTTTTCCCACATTTGGGCAAATGTTTTAGCAGGTTGTAAGCTTCATAACTTATGAAAAGAGTAAAATAAAATTTTCTTGAGTGAAACTTGGAATAATTTGAGGGACTTTTATATACTTTTAAAAATCAGAAATCAATTAGGATGCCAGATTTATAGCAGTTTGCATCTTTAATTTTCAAGATAATCTGGAAGTTAGTGTTTGATAAATGATTTTTAAAGCAAATATGAAGATTTTGTTAATTTATAATTTATTAGTGTGTTGTTACTGTAATTGAAAATGTTATAGAACATTTAAATTCAGTCTTGTGTAGAAAGAAATGTATTAAGCAAAATTATGTGAATAAATATTCCCACAAAATACATCTGAATGGTTAAAAAATACTGGAAGAGAGTTACTAGGGCTGCAATACCGAAATGTCCTATTTTTTCTTTTTTTGTGTTTCAATATCAGAAATCCCAATAAGTAGATTCCTATTTTCAACCTGGGGAAATGTTATCAGTGAGCATTTAAGCAGTGCACTTTATTTGGCATAAGTGAAAGTTGCACAGAAACATTTCCTTGTTTTAAGCCTTCTTTCATGTATTTAAGTATTTGTCTTTCTACTTAATGCTGCTATTCTTTATTCTCTTTTTTTCTCTCTATTGTTTCTCTCTCTCCTCTCTCTCTCTCTCTCTCTCTCTCTCTCTCTCTCTCTCTCTCTCTCTCTCTTTGAAGGGCATGTACAGGAGCAACTGCTGCTACCCAGCAAAATGTGTGTATTATAAACAATTAAAGAGTTCTTCATTGCTTTCTGTGTGATTCCAGACCGGATAACATTTTCCCTAAAGTCATGCTGTGAAATGCCTTTGTTATGCTGCACTTGATAAAGGAATCCCAAAACTCCAGTGTGACAGCTGACAGCACAGTTTCATAGGTGCTTTTTAAACCAGTTTTGGAAAATATTTTTCCCTCAAGGAAAATATTCTTTTCTTAAATTTTTTCTGTTATCACGAAATCTTAATATGAATCCACTTTATTCCACATTTTCAATTTTGTAAGCTTTCACACACACGCACACAGCAGGAAAAACCTGTTAGAATGTGAATAATTCATTTTTTTCTACCTCTGGTATAATGTTATTTTGTTGTCTTCCATTCTTGAAGGGAAGGATTTACTGTAGCTGTGGGGGTTCACTGCTCAAGTTCTTCTGGAAGTTGACTTTCTGATATGATTTACTCACTGACTTTTAGAGTGTATCGGCGTAGGTTCCCCTCGGTTCCCTTCTGCCTTGATCCTGGACCGCACCTTCGTCGTCTTCTGTGAGGCCTGTGCTGCAGCTGCTCAGCGTCTGTCAGTGTCAAGCGCGACTTGTCACTGCGTTTGTCTGGAACAGTATTGACTTAACTTGTTTATAGCAATCCTTTTTTTATTAAAACTTACAAAAGTTAGCATTTTTACTTTAAATTCAGTCTCCATCAATACTTCCTAAAAAGAACTGAGAAATTGAAAAGAAAATGCTTTTCAAGCCCCGATGCTCCAGTTTTTATTCAAAGTTGCTCTTCTGGAAAATGCTATAAGTAATATTCTACATAATGCCACATAATATTTGTAACCCTGTATGCAGACACTGAATAGTGTAAGTAGGACATAAAATGATGTTTGTTATTTAAATGTGTAGCTCAAAGTACTGGCAGCTGAATATTATGGAGACAAAGATTGAAAGCCTAGGTCATCAAGTTGGTGATAGCTTTCTAGAATCTTTGTAAATACTTGCAAATAAGATCACACTTGCAAATATAGGAAACAGTATGTTCTGAAATTTCACTTCAGTGCCACTCTTTTCTTCATAATGGATTTAACTGCCAGTTTTGACTCTTCTCTTACTGAGATCTGACTTTTTTCCCCCCTCAGGATATGTAAGAGAGCAGAATTATTGTCTGACTTTCGGCTCTTTGCCAGAGAAAAAGACTAAGCAAGCACATTAACCTGTGTTTTTCAGAGATGGTTATAAATCAGATATAGATTGTGTTTTAAGAGCAGTGTTTATGATTGAAATATAAATAATGGTTTCTATAACTGATTTTTCTGTAGTAGCTGAAACATTTAAAAACATGCTGTTATCTGTTGCATACTATATAGGTTTTCTATTTCTTTTATAAGCCATACAATTATTTCAGTTTTCACCCACTAAATTAGTAGAATATGGAGCCCAAATGCCTGAGGGGCACCCTCAGCATATTTGCAATATGTATTTCAGTTAATAAAAACGGCAGATTCCATTTCAAAGCTTATTTTACTTTCTAAAGTTGGGTCTAGTAACCTGTAAGAGCAATCATTTAAATTAACATAATTATAACAAGACATACGGGTCTTCCTTTAAATGAAACAGATTGTAAATTCAATGTAAATATTGCCTAATTTTTTTTACTGACTTGGAGAGTGGAAGAAGGGAAATTTCCTAACAGTAAGCTACATTTGAACAAAGCATGAGATTCTTTTAATAAAAAACTCGTGATAATTGAATTTACCATCTGATTGACATCCATATTATGCATTGATAATATCGAAATCATCTTACTCTTTGCAGAGGAAGTTTCCATATAAATTCGGTTATTGGGAACTTTATAAAACTACATAGAGATAAATGTTACTTATTAAATATAGTACTGTTTGTTGCAGGAAGTCTTCTAGTTCATTTGGGCCGTTTTGTTGCAATTTGATTTATTCTGAGGTGAGCTCAGTGTGTATTGACAATGGGTGGTTAAAGGTGATGTGTCCCTTGTTCTTGTACAGATATTTTCTAAGTTAAAAATTCTGGCATGCCAATATTTTGTGTTTGGCCTATTCCTCCTTTTTTTCCTAAGATATGTAACTTCTAATGTTTTCTTTGCTATGTTGTGAATAACAATAGTCCAGTTATCTTTTTTACTGGGAACTTTTCATCTCTACTGGGATCTTTCCATTCTGAAACTAAATTGCCACTTGGTTCTTCAGAGGAAGTAGCTACTTATTGTGCTCCTAGTGGTGAGTTTTACTCAGGAACAGCTGGTGAAAGTTTTGTAATAATTTACCCAGAGAATACTTTGAGTGCCTACCATATTCTGTGAATGCTGTGCTTAAGATAGGGAATTGAATGTTCTTTTTAAATCACAGAATTCCTGCGTTGAATGGGGAATACCTGGTCTTTTAAGTCAGGTGATTCTCTGTGGAAAGTAAAAGGCATTGAAGAAAACCAGATGTGTTGATGTTGATGAAAATACAGCGTTACTTTCTTTATGGAGTCGATACATTTTCAGGTATTTAAGCCATCATTAGTTTTATTTTTTTTAATATATTTTTTATTGATTTTTTACAGAGAGGAAGGGAGAGGAATAGAGTTAGAAACATTGAGAGAGAAACATCGATCAGCTGTCTCCTGCACACCCCCTACTGGGGATGTGCCCGCAACCAAGGTACATGCCCTTGACCGGAATCGAACCTGGGACCCTTCAGTCCGCAGACTGACGCTCTATCCACTGATCCAAACCGGTTAGGGCGCCATCATTAGTTTTAGACCAGTGGCTAATAATAAGATAGGCTGTTGGTTGCTTATTTATAGAGAGGCAAAGAGCAGCATGGTATAAACTTACACCCCAGCAATAAATGAAATTTTTTTAAAAAATATATTTTATTGATTTCTTACAGAGAGGAAGGGAGAGGAATAGAGAATCAGAAACATCGATGAGAGAGAAACATCGATCAGCTGCCTCCTGCACACTCCCCACTGGGTATGTGCCCGCAACCAAGGTACATGCCCTTGACCGGAATTGAACCCGGGACCCTTGAGTCCACGGGCCGACGCTCTATCCATTGAGCCAAACCGGTTAGGGCTATAAATGAAATTTTTAAAAGTGGTATTGTACTGCTTAGCTCTGCCCTAGACTGTGGGGTACCTGTCAGGACCCCAAGTCTTAGACACAGAGTGACTGGTTTCTTTGATTCCTAGTTCTTAACTAAAATGGAACAATTCATTATTGATATTTTTAATAAATAAAGCTTCCAAATGATCTTGCCAAATTATCCTGTAATTTAGAAGCAGAATATAAGAGAAGAATGCTTTCAAGAAAATCTGTCATTTCCACCTTTATGTCTACAAGTTGACAGTACATAACAGTAAAACTGAGAATTATCTGAATGCTGAAAGGTTACCATGAGTTAACTAATGTTAGAGTTTCTCTGTCTGCTTTTGTATAATCACCATCACAAAATTGAATCCAAAAGTATTGGTTAAAATTTTGTGGTAACGTAAGAAATGACTGGTGGTAGTGGAGAAAAAGCTCTTTTTTCATTACCTTAACCATGTGTAGAGATATACTTTGAAAGTTCTAATGTAAAACCTATTTGTAAATGTTGTACTTGCAGCACAATTTTCAGGATGAAAGAAATATTGTTTGTAGCGTCGTGGGTAAGTGGTTAGGGGCATGGATTCTGTCTGGAATCAGACTGCCTAGTTTGCCATCTCTGTGACGTAGGGCGAGATACTGAGATACTTAAGCTTCTCTGTGCCTCGCCTTTGCCTATAGAAAGAGGTGATTCTGCTGCCTACCTCAAGGTTGTTGTGAGGATTAAATGCACCAAGCAATTAGAGCATCTAATAATGTTAAGTGGTTATTATGAACAGTTAAATATGTGTGCCATCTATGAATAAATAAGTTTTGTTATTCTCTCCAGTCATGAGGTGTTGGAGCAATGCCTTAGACCTTAGCTGATGTGTTTAAGAAACCTAACTATAATACAGGACATTGTGAGTTCTGATCTTCCTTCTTGCTTAAATCTAGAGATTTACTATTTCGGCAATTATATATTAAGCACTACTTGGTTCTATGGACTGTTGGGGACCGAGAATATTGAAATCAAAGATAGCCGACCTCTAGGAACTAATCTTTATTGAATGAAGTAAAGAAGTGCAACTTAATAAAGAATAATAAATGCTGTGATAGGTCCACAGGGTGTTGTGCAGGTAGTAAGGAGGGTCATGATTAAACCAAGTCTTTATGAGCAAACAGATCCTGTCTAGGAGATACGGATAAAATGACTTGTGGAGTGGGAAGTTTGGGAAGGGTATTCCCAAGGCAGAAAGCATAACTCAGCCAAACATGTCAGTGTGGAGTCGCTATATCTAGATAGTTAAGCAGGTGACAAATCCTGAAGGGATGTATGTGCCAAACTATTATTGAAGGATTTTAAACAGGAAAAAGACAAATCAGGAAGAAAGGGATGAGACTAGCGGTAGAAAATTTATAGTAATCCAGGCGAGATGATAGGGGCAAAGCTAAAGCAATGACAATAGGATGGAAGAACTTCGAGTGCTGTGGAAACAACTCACCTTGGTGGTCATTTAGTGTAAGGCATGAAAGACAATACCAGGACAACTCCCAGTTGTACTTTTATCACATCTTAATACATTGCAGACCAGTAGTTTTATTGCTAGCTTTACCCAGTGGCCAGATAAGTTTCTATTGAACGACTACAAAAAACGTTTTACATAAATGTTAAAGGCTTGCTTTAAATACTCATTGCATTTTGAAGTTATTTACTACATGGTCTTATAAGCTAATATCTATTTAAAGTATGATTGGCCACAAGCCTTAGAACAGAAAACACGAGAATTCTCATGATCCATCTGCAATGTGTTAAGGACAAGATCTCTGTCTGGGAAAAGCTGATTATGCCAGAAGTATCTGCTGGAGAACCTGAGATAAAGAACACCAATTCCGACACCACTGATTGGATCTTACATGGAAGGCAGAGCCTTAAGAAGCCAGTCAGGAATACTGGGCAAGTTGTGAGAAAGCAGGAGTGTGTGTGTGTGTGTGTGTGTGCGCGCGTGTGTGTGTGTGTCTGTCTGTCTGTCTGTTAGGGTTCAGGAGGTATTAGACACAATAGTTTCCAGCACCGTTAGAGCTCTGAGGCGTAAGTGCATGGTAAGTACACTGAGCGAGTGGAAGGTCTAGGCTGGCTGAACTGGACCTTTCCTGGCACCCTGCCCCCTCTTACCCACAGATGCCCGTTGGATAGGGCCGTGCTTCCCCAGGGTTGCTCAGTGCTGAGGTGCCTCCAATGAGCAACCCTGGGGTTTTCTCTCTGGTTCATCTGTCCCATATCTTTCCATCCTACCAGTGTTCTCAGACATTCACACCAGAAGAAAGTTGTTGTTGGAAGCAGAGTCTGTGGAAGTAGACAGGAAGGGTGAATCCTGCTGTCCAAGGGATGCTGCTGTTGGGATGGCTGGGTCAGGTTGGCAAGAGGAGGACCAGGAAACATGGGTCAGCTCCCGGGGAAAATTATAATTCCAGGCAAAAGTTGGTAATGTGTATGGCATCGCAAATGTATGACTAGTGTGGGTGTGCAAAGCCTACTTCTTGAATAAGCATTTGTGTCAGACCTTTTAAGGGGTAAGAGTAGTAAAGTCACTGGAAAATTCTTTATCTGACTGGTAAGTGTGAGTGCTGCTGAAACAAATGAAAACAGATGAAAGTATTGCAAACACAGATTGTGGTCGAGACAGCCAGACACAGATGTGGGAACTCATTTTCGTTTTTAGAGGCTTGTTTCCTCAACAAGAACCGTGTTCTATTTCTAACCAGTTTTCTTTCACAGCTTTTCAAAAACAACTCGAGTAAGTTCTAATTTACATACAACAAAAACATCCATTGGAAAGGTACGGTCTGATGAGTTTGGACACTTGTATACACCTGAGCAACTATCACCATGACAGATAGGGAACATTAGTATCACCCCTCAAAAGTTACCGCCAGCCTCTTTCCACTCGGGTCCCATCCACCCATCGTCCTCAGCCCTGGGCAGCACGGACCTGCTTCTTGTCACTGTGGACTAGATGAAAACATTCAAAATGTCCTTTATTTGTGTAAGGCTTGTTTTGCTCATCGTGTCTGTGATAGGCATCAGTTTGTTGCTTGAATCAGTTCTTTTTTATTGCTGAGTAGTATTCCATTGTATGAAGATACTACAGTTCGTTACCCATTCTATTGCTGGACACCTGGGCTATTTCTAATTTGGGCTATTATGAATAAAGTATCTGTAACATTTATATATAAATCTTATGTGAACATGTGATTTCATCTCTCTTGAATAAATACCTAGGAGTGGAATTACTGAGTTGTAAATATTTGTTTACCTTTGTAAGATGCTGCCACACTGATTTGCCTATTTCGGCCCTTCCCCAATACTACACTGTCTTGATTATTATAACTTTGTGCTTTGCAGTAATCTTGAAATTAGGTACTGTAGGTCTTCCAACTTTCCTCCTTTTTCTTTTATTTTCAAAATGTTTGTTTTTCTAGTTCCTTTGGTCTTTCATGTAAAGTTTAGAACCAATCTGTCAGTTGCTACAAAAACTCCTGCTGGTACTTTGAGATTGCATTGAATCTACAGATCAGTTGTTTTAGTTACAACATGAACTCTTCCAGCCATTGAGCACATAATATCACCATTTATTTCGGTTTTTTAAATGTCTTCAACATTTTATAATTTTCAGCCTATGGATCTTGATAAATTTATACCTAATTATTGCATGGTTTATAGTGTTATTGTAAATGATGCTGTTCTTACATTTTTAATTTCCAGTTGTTTACTGCTAGTACATGAAAAACAATTGAATTTTGTACATTGATTTTGTATCCTATTATCTTCTTTAACTCACTTATTCTAGTAGTTTTTTTGTATATTCTTTTGAAATTTTCTACATAGACAGTCATACTGTCTCTATAAATAGATCATTACTTTCTTTGTAATCTTTTATTTTCTGTTCTTTTTTCTTTATTTTTAGCTCCTGTCACTTCTTTCTTCTTTATTTCCCTTCCCCTTCTCTTTTTCTCTCTTCTCCTCCCCTCTTCTTCCCTCTTTTCCTTCCTTGCTTCCTCTTCCCTTCTTTCTTATTACATTGGCTAGATCTCCAGAGAGATCTGAATGGAAGTGCTAAAAGTTGAGAGTGTAAAGGGAACACATTCAGTCTTTCACTATTAAATTTAACTGTAGGGTTGTTTTGTAGATGTCCTCTATAAAATTGAGGGATTATCTTTTGTTCCCGTTTCCTAAGAGGACTTAGGAATAAATGTTGAATTTTGTCGAATGCTGCTTTATTTACTGAAATGATCATATGGTTTTTCCTCTTTTATCTGTTGATATAAATTTTGTTTTGTTTTGTTTTTTACTGTTGAATCAATTTTTTAAATACGTCTGGATTCAATTTGTTAATATTTAGTTAGGGAACCCCCACTCCTCAGTCTATATCCTCAGGGTAATGGAGGGCTCATTAAAAGGGTTGTGAAGTGTTCGTCTTTTCTGAAAGAGTTTGTACAGAATGCTATAGATTTTCCTCTAGTGTTCGTCTTTTCTGAAAGAGTTTGTACAGAATGCTATAGATTTTCCTCTATGCCCTGCTTTAGCCATATCCCACAAATCATGATATTGGTTGAAAAGAAGAATGAAAGCAACACTGGTTGAAAACAAGGATGGGGGTAGACTATATTAGGAGTGTAAATAACATTTATCACATTAGACATGAGCCAGCCATCTGTCCTTTGAGGCGGGCAGATTCCCTGAATGAAGGTAAAGAGTTCTTCCAAATCAGACTAGAGTCTCCAAAGAGGACAGACTGGCCATTGCCACAGGGATAGTCCCAGTATTTGTTCCCCCTCCTAGTGAGCTTGTAATGTCTGTACTGTAATAATTTCAGCAGAAGTATTTCCTTGATTTGAAGTTCAAATTTTTAAAATACTGCAGGTTGGGTTTTAATCAGTGTGAAGAAAATGCAAATATCAGAAGAGACCTGCCTTTTGAGGCATATAAAGTAATAGCTGTTAATTTTTTGTCAGGAGGTAAGATAGGATGAAAATGATCCAGCAGTCATATCTAGAGCAGTAGCGGTGGACTGGGAGAAACAAGAGAGCTTTGCCTTTGCTTATATCAGAGAAGATAGGAGAGTGAAGTACCCCCTTGAGAATAGGTGAAAGCAATCTGTGAGACCATTAGGTGACTGCTAGGGGGCACCAAAGGGTAATAACGTGAGATTTGCAGTAAAGCAGAAAGAGGAAAATCTGAGTTATCAAAAGGTTAATCTTGTTCTGCTGTGCTGGGTAGGAGCTGTCTCCTTTGTCCTCCTCTCTCCCACCTTCACCTGGTGGGATCTGTTCCAAGAGGACTTTCAAGACCCGTGAGCCAAAGAGCTCCTGGGAAGGTCTCGTTCATCAAGACTCAGGTAGTTTTTCTCTGATTTCCAATCATTTTTTAAAATGTCTGTTATGACTTGTCAGGTTTTGTTCTCCTGGTCTATGTTTGGAAAACTAAAGAGCTCTCATAATAGTTCTAAGTTAGTTAAAATTTGAAATACCTGCCCAGCTGATATGACTCAGTGGTTGAGCGTCGACCCATGAACCAGAAGGTCACCATTGGATTCCCAGTTAGGGCACATGCCCAGGTTTCGGGCTCAATCCCCAGTAGGGGACGTGCAGGAAGCAGCCAATCAATGATTCTCTCTCATCATTGATGTTCCTATCTCCCTCTCCTTTCCTCTCTGAAATCAATGAAAATATGTTTTTTTAAAATTTGAAGTACCAAACAAATTTAGTTATTTCTATTCTTCCTTTTATAAGGTGAAGAGGCAAATCAAGGGTTACCTTGTAGTCATCCCAGGATACCCAAGAACGTTTAGCTGTAAAAGACACGGCGGTTTTATTCTCAAATTGGGAAAGGCAAAATAAAGAGTTACAGAGACAAAATGGAAACATAAGAAATATCCAAATGCAAGAAACTTTTATGTTGATAATGTAAAAACAAGTAATGTTTAAAAGAAATTATTTCAAAATGAAGGAATTTTGTGTTAAAATCAGGAGTATGCCAACAGTATATTTAACTGTTTATATAAGCAGTAGATACACTTCTGTTGTATGTAAGCCATTGTGTATTTAGGAGTCCATTTATTACAGCAGTTAGCCTTCCTTAATTTTTTGATACATTTCAATTATGCTTTGCTGGGTAACAAACCAACCCGAATTTAATGGCTCAGAAGCACAGTTTTAATTAACTCATAATTCTGTGTCAGAAATGTAGGCTCTTGCCTGTACTTGTTCCTGCAGCTACAACAGCAGGTGGGTCCACTGGGGACCGATTGGTCTGGCGTTGCCTCCTCACTCAGGCTGGAGAGAATTGCTGGCTGCTGGCTGCTGGCTGCTGCTGGGTCCCGTGTCCCCAGCAGGTTTGCCTGGGATTAGTCACATGATAGTGGGGGGTTCTCGGCAGCAAGAGAGGGCAAGTCCTCCTGCATTGCCAAGGCTTCTGCGTGCGTGTTTGGCAGTGTACCATTATCCAGTGCAAGTCACAGAGGGAAATGTAATTTGGGGAGCATTTACTGCAGCAATCTGCCGTACCTATTACAGTACTCATGCGCAAATTAGGCAGGTCATTCACATATATCTAACATCTGAGTCACATTGGATGCATCCAGCTATGAGACTTTTTACAACTCCTGAATTAAGTTTTAGTATCAGCATTGGTTACAATGAAAATCATATTGGTTTTGTTTTTAAATTGTATTTCAGGTCTGCATATTGAAATATTTACCAGTACATCCTAAATTTAGGGTAGTGGGATTGACATTTAAAAAATGGAATCTTGCCCAGCTGGTGTGGCTCAATGGTTGAGCATCGACCTATGAACCAGGAGGAGGTCACTGTTCGATTCCCAGTCGGGGCACATGCCCAGGTTTCAGGCTTGATCCCCAGTAGGGGGTAGGCAGGAGGCAGCCGATCAATGGTTATTTCTCATCATTGATGTTTCTATCTCTCCCCTTTCCTCCCTGAAATCAATAAAAATATATTTTAAAAAAGTAAAGAATGGAATCTTATTTCTTGAAACCACTGTAGCCATGACGTTTTAGCTTAAGGTCCAAATGAAGAGGCCTCTTTACCTGAGGTTTAATGGATCCAATTTCTCAAAGCCCCGTGGACCTGTGGCCAAATCCATACTTCAACTAAAGCAGTCTTTGAAAAGCTAGACTTAGATTTACCCATATTTAAAGTGCCATTAAGTGAATGATGACGTTACAGCGCCATAGGTCGCCCTGCATCACCCTCCGCACAGGATGCTCTCTCCTCGCCAGCAGCAGTGCTCTCGGCTTTCCCTGGGATGGCAGGGACTCGGAAGTGCTGTGGCGGCCAAAGGCCTGAGGTCACAGACTGTCACTTCTGCTCATCAGTTATGTGACCCTGGGTCATTCTTCAGCACCTCCGCCTCTTCATCTGTACAAGGGAGATAGTCACCACAACCTTCCTCAGAGGGTAGTTGTGAGGGTTAAAGGAGATAAAATATCTAAAGCCTTTAATTCAGAGACTAGCCCAGCTTATAGGAAAAGCCATCCTGGTTTTCAATTTTTGTAAATTTCCATCTTATTGAGGTGTAATTGACAATTTTATTCAGTTACTCTTCGGACCTATATAAATGCGAATGGAATGTTTACCAGTATCTCCTAAATCAGGTTTTGTAGGAGATTACCTATTTTCTTAGGCAATACATGCTAGAATACTGAGTGAGATAAAGTTATGTGATATAACTTTGAAGTGTCATCACAAAAAGAATACATTGAAAATGTATGGTGAGAAAGATAAATATGGCAAAATGCTAATACTCGTTAATATATGTAGGATATGAATGTTCACTGTATTTTAAGTTTCCTGAGCATTTGAAATATTTCATAATAAAAATTTCAGGGAGGATGGAAATCGTTTCTTCATGTCTCTCACTCTCCTGTTTGTCTTCATTTTCCCCGAACTGGCACCCAGATCTCCCCCTGCAGGGCCTCGAGTGAGGTGATCCCTCATTGTGGTTTTGACTTGCATTTCCCTCATTAGTGATGCTGAGCATCTTTTCATGTACCTGTTGGCCTCTTTTCATACACCTGTATGTCTGTTTTGAGAAATGTTTATTAAGGTCCTCTGTCCATTTTTTAATCGGATTGTTAGGAATGTTTTGTGTTTTTTTAGTTGTATAAGTTCTTTTTATAAATTTTAGGTATTAATCTCTTACTGGATTTATCAGTTGCAGACATCTCCTATTCAGCGGGCTGGTTAAGATATTGCAGGAACCAAACCCTTTCAGAAGAGCCAACCACGTGCTGGGATTGCTCTGGGATCGGAGGGAGGTGACAGGAGACAGAAGTTCCCCTGTTCATGTGTCTACCTGGAGAAGGTTTTGATCAGCCAGCTCCTCTGACGTGTGAACTCTCCATCAGGGCAGTCCTGGCCCGCAGCCACATTAACTGAATCAGTGGATTGTCCTGATAGCTCGCTGAGCTCAGGAGCGGTTTGTGGTGAGGTGGGCAGAGGCCCGGGTTCTGTTTCAGAAGGGGATTCTGGCCATTCCCAGGCCTCTTGCAGGGGGTGTGAGGGTGGAGGAACAGGGAAGTGAGAAAGGGAAGTGGGGCAAGAGCAAAGGCGAATGTGGTCACCTCAGGTTCTGCCCGGAGCCCTGGTGGCAGTCGCCGGGGACACGTCAGGGAACTTGGTCTCTGAAGCCGCTGCCCCGACGCTTCAGACAGCAGCGGTGCAGCACCGACTTCCCCTTCGCAGTCGGCGTTCTTACAGCATGAGCCGCGTGCTTGCACATAGATCCCAGTTTCCAGGGCAGATGGAAGAGTGAAGAGGACGAATGAGAATGTTAAATGTGTAGCATTTACGAAGATTTGTTGAATTGGAAGCTGAACAGTAAATGTGTAAAAAGGCAGACAGCCCTTAGAGTGACAGGAGCTATCAAGCATGTGCCTAGACGGAGCAGTCTCAACAGGGCGATGTCACCCCTAAGGGGTGGAAGTTGGTTCTTGGGGGACAGGAAAGAACTTGGGTATTCAGTGGTGTGCGGCCTTCCACAGAGCCCCAGTACATCAAATCCATAAATCCAGTTTGTGGTGTCAGAAGTTCATGGTGGGAGCAGGAGGATGGAAAACGTCTTAGGAAATCTTCAAGGGGCAGTTATGAGCACAAGGTTGAGCTGGGCCAGGTGATGCAAAGGGCAGGGCCTTGTTCACCACCAGTAAGGCCTCCTGGGAAAGTGGAGCGCAGCACGCGCGCTGCCTCAGCA